AAATCCAGCCCTTCTTGCATGCTAGGCAAATGTTCTACAGTGAGTTACACCCCTAGGACTGTCACAGTTGCTGCTGACCCAAGTCCTGGTGAAACCTCAGGAGTCTTCCGCAACCCAGGCAGCCAGTGCCTACCAATCTAGACTGTCAAGCAGATGAAACTTAAGTGCCATCTCCATGTAGGCAGATATGAGAACCTCAGGAGGCAATAGTACAAAATGACAGGCAATAAGGGATAGTCAAGAGAGATTAGAAGAGAGAACACGAGCCTGAACAGGCCTCTGCATGGGGCTGAGCAGTTCTTTCATCTGGGGTCCTGATGATGGGGTCTGCGCTTGGCTCCCCCAGGATTCCCACATCCGGGGAAACTTGGGTACCAATCTTCTCAGGATGCCTTCCAGGGCCACACATCTGGACTGGAATCAAACCCTGGCTATTGCACCCCGGAGCAGGCTCATTTAGAATTCCAAGAGCTCAATTTGTCTTGTGCCCAGCTGCTGCCCTGCCACACTGGTAACAAATGGCCAGCTCTCTTCCAGCCACCCTGCCTCGCTCCCCAGGCCTGGCCCTCACTCAGCTCCTGGTCACGCAGGGCCTCACACTCGAGCATTGCGAGGCCAGCTCATCCATCTGGGGCAGACGGGGGAAGTCTCCTTGCACCAATCCTGCGGCTTCTCTCTCCGAGATGAGAAAGCAGCACTCCTTTCCCTCCCTCAAAGACGACAGAGAGGACCCAGAGGAAGCTGGAGACAAGTGCAAAGAAATCAGGTCCATCTATCTTTCCTTTCTTTTTCATTCATTTAGCGAGTATTTTCAGGGTCTCAGACAGTTTCTGAGGAAGCTCAGTCAGCCTTGCCTTTTGTTCTCAGAGCTCACAAGACACTGAGGAGCTACAGTAAGCTGAACAATAACTAGAATACCTTGTAAATACGGTAAGACCTAAGGGAGGTCCCATTGTCCCTTGTTTGCAATCTTACAAAGGTTTTCATGGCCCTGGGTTAAAGTTCAATGTCTTGATCTTAGCTCAGAAAGTACAGTACTTGGGGCCCACTTACCTCTTGTTTCTCTCCTAGACCTGTCACCCTGCTGTCCCCTCTGTACTAGCTAAACAGTCCCAAGTCCCTCCACAGTTCCCACCCTGTCACCTTTGCTCAGCTGTTCCCATCTGGGTTCCTGCCTTTATTTTTTTCTTAATTTTTTTTTGTTCATCTTAATGAGAAAAAAGATACAATAGCAATGAAACAGTTTCAAAACAGGTTACCAGGACAGTGACAATAATTAATACATTGCATATTGTTGTCTTCGTAGTAGTTATTCAGAGTACAAGATGCTGACATGATAGCCTGTCTAAACACTATTAGTGCAAACCTTGCTTCTCACTGAATTAAGAGAAAGTAGCTCTGGGGTAGCTAAATAGCTCAGTGGATTAAAGTGCCTGCAAGCAAGTACAGC